TAGGCAGAGACCAGAGTCTCTGGGTGAAGGTTAAATGGGGGACACTGTGACCAAGAGCACACCACTCATGGACTCACTGAGTAATGCTGTTGCAGAGCTGGCCTCATTCAAAAATCTTCCTAAGTGAGTCTACACCTGCCATGGCACTGCACCCCTCATGCGGGACTTGTCAGCCATACTGGCGCTGAGAATGCAAACCCCAAAGTGCCTTTCCAGTGGAGCTATTATTGACTGCTCACCCATATGGGATTTGCGTGGTTTTGCGTTATCAGTACATATCCCATCCATGGATTTTGGCCTGTAGGTTGGCTTTGGATTACACAGGTCTCATAGCATGTTCCCTAGCAATGCTGTTACGATTTGTGTCTAGCTGTCCCCCCAAAGCCTCAAGCACTCATGCACAGGTTGCTGGACTTTGTGAGTTATTTATGATCCCAAACTGGGAATGATAGCACAAGTGAGTTCATGGAGAAAGGCACTCAAGAAATCTGCAAAGGCCTGAATGAACAAGGCTGTATCTGAGCCGGCTGATACACAGTCTCTATCTAGGAGGCACAGAAGATGTCCAACCTGACCTGGGTCTCACCTTCAGTTGAAGTACATTTTACTTGTCCATACTAACCATTGCCTCCTTTACAGGAATCTTACAAGAATGTCACAATTCTCACAAAGTTTACTTCTCGCAGAATGTCAGACAGCCAAATTCCAGATGACCATGGCACTTTAACTTTTAGCCCACATTCTAATTTTTCCTGTTTGTTCAGTTCCCATCTCATAACTCAGCTATCCTTCAAATGGGTTGATTATTAACCGAAGCAAAGAGCTAAAAGTAAGGGTCAAATATAGCATAAGTGACGTCTCTTAACACGGGGTTAAAAATAGACAATGGAGCCTCATGAACCCTAATAGGATTATGGGGGTGAGTGCTACACCCATCCTGGTGTGGGTAGTCTGCTTACAATATAAGGGAGGGAAACAGGCATGCCCTTGCTCCTCCCTTTT